GCCGAATCCAGACCTCTCGCCCGACGTCACCCCTTTCTCACACTGCCCGGTCTTTAGTGCAGGTACACTTACAGATTGACTGTCAGACATTCCGCTACCAATTCCTACCTACACTATGAGACCATCTCAGTCAGTTGGTCAGTCAGTCACTCACTCACTCACAGCGGAGAGCATTCATTCCGCTCCCCCACACCAGGCACTCCAACAAGGAGACGCCACCATTACCTATTCTCCTCTCTCTCTCCACGGAACAGACCACGAGGAGAAGCAGGGTCATTCAAAAGTATCTGGTACTTGCTCCAGGAGCTTGTTCCGAACTATTTTCAGCTTCCGAGGTTTGTTTTACCCACGGTCCTGGCACCCAGCCAAGATTTCGTTCGCCCTACCAAAGACCATAGACACACCACTCACCTTATGCTTTCCCATGCCAGCAACCGTACGTGACTGGCTGGGTGAATGGAGGGCTGGGCGAGTCACCCTCACCGCGTAGAGCGTTCTTCACACTGTCCATTGACTGGCCTGGGCCAGAGGTCAGAGGTACAAGCCTCGAAACAGATGTAAGACGATTGGTCCAGGAACGCCTTTTGGCCGAACACTGCCGATGGCGGCCATGGCCTAGCTTCTGCTTGCCTACTTGCTTCTTTATTCTTATGCTCTGCCGTGACCTCTTCTCTTTTTTTGCTTGTGACTCCTCCAAGATTGACTTTCTTTCTCCTCCTCTTCTACCTCTCCAAGCACCATCATCTCTTCCCTCGAACTCGTTGATCACTTGTCAATTGAGTTGTGAATAGCATCATTAGTCTGGTGCTACATTGTCTTGTTCCTGGTCTGCCAAATATCTAGGTATTCCTGTCCAACCTCGATTCCTACATACCCCTCCATCTCGAAGCATATCGTCGCCGAGAAATCTCCGCTACAAACCCTCACAATAGCGTCATCTTTCCCACAAGTCTAAAGCTACACGTTGCCCATCATGGCTGCCAGCAACATGGTCAACAACGCCGTGGACCCGAACATCGAGGATGACCTGTTCCAAAAGGAGGTTGAGCAAGTCAAGAAGTGGTGGAGCGAGCCGCGATGGAGACACACCAAGCGATCCTTCACCGCCGAGCAGATTGTCTCCAAGAGAGGCCACCTCAAGATTGAGTATCCGAGTAACGCCCAGTCCAAGAAGCTCTTTGAGATTCTCGAGAACCGCTTCAAGAACAAGGACGCCAGCTACACCTACGGCTGCTTGGAGCCCACAATGGTCACTCAGATGGCCAAGTACCTCGACACCGTCTACGTATCTGGATGGCAATCATCGTCAACGGCCTCGGCCTCGGACGAGCCCGGCCCGGATCTGGCAGACTACCCTTATGTGAGTTCTCTACCTTGTCAGCCACTGTCCAAGGAAATACCCATAGCTAACCTGCCTTGACAGACCACCGTTCCTAACAAGGTCGCCCACTTGTTCATGGCCCAGCTCTTCCACGACCGGAAACAACGACAGGAACGCCTGAGCGTCTCTAAGGAGGCTCGCGCCAAGCTCGCCAACATCGACTACCTGAGACCCATCATCGCCGACGCCGACACGGGCCACGGCGGTCTCACGGCCGTCATGAAGCTCACCAAGCTCTTCATCGAGAAGGGCGCCGCCGGCATCCACATTGAGGACCAGGCCCCCGGCACCAAGAAGTGCGGTCACATGGCCGGCAAGGTCCTCGTTCCCATACAGGAGCACATCAACCGCCTCGTCGCCATCCGCGCCCAGGCCGACATCATGGGCTCCAACCTCGTCGCCGTCGCCCGCACCGACGCCGAGGCCGCCACCCTCCTCAGCACAAACATCGACCCCCGCGACCACGCCTTCATCCTCGGCTCCACGAACCCCAGCCTCCAGCCCCTCAACGACCTCATGATCGCCGCCGAGCTGGCCGGCAAGACGGGCGACCAGCTCCAGGCCATCGAGGACAACTGGCTGAAGCAGGCCAACCTCAAGCGCTTCGACGAGGCCGTCGTCGACGCCATCAAGGCCGCGCCTCTTTCCAACAAGGACGGCCTGATCCAAAAGTACACCGCCGCCGCCAAGGGCAAGAGCAACAACGAGGCGCGCGCCATCGCAAAGGGCATCCTCGGCGCCGACATCCACTTTGACTGGGACTCCCCGCGTACGCGCGAGGGTTACTACCGCCTCAAGGGCGGCTGCGACTGCGCCATCAACCGTGCCATCGCGTATGCCCCCTACTGCGATGCCATCTGGATGGAGAGCAAGCTGCCCGACTTCAAGCAGGCGCAGGAGTTCGCCAAGGGCGTCCACGCCGTCTGGCCCGAGCAAAAGTAAGTACACAAGTCCAGCCTCGGAAAGAAAGAATCCTCTTGGTAAATAGAAAAATTGGGTTTACTAACTTTTGGTCTTCTCCAGGCTCGCTTACAACCTCTCGCCCTCCTTCAACTGGAAGACGGCGATGCCCCGCGACGAGCAGGAGACGTACATCCGCCGCCTCGCGTCGCTCGGCTACTGCTGGCAGTTCATCACCCTGGCGGGCCTGCACACGACGGCGCTCATCAGCGACAAGTTCGCCAAGGCGTACAGCCAGCAGGGTATGCGCGCGTACGGCGAGCTCGTGCAGGAGCCCGAGATGGACTCGGGCGTCGACGTCGTCAAGCACCAAAAGTGGAGCGGCGCGACGTACGTCGACGAGCTGCAGAAGATGGTCACTGGCGGCATCAGCAGTACCGCTGCCATGGGTAAGGGCGTGACGGAGGATCAGTTCCACTGATTTTCGTTTGAACAGGGGGGTGATGGAGATATTGGGTTGTGGTGTATGTATGAGGGAAGAAGAAATGGATAGGAGGTATCTAAGATGCAAGGATGTTGTTTCTGTTGGATGGCAGGTGTACCTATTCAGAATGGGTTCAGGGTCGGTAGCACGTCTATGAATTGTTCGTTTTTAAGTCCATGATGTTGATTGTGGTGTGGTAATTGTTGGTGATGGGATGCAATAGCATCTACTCGGCAAGCGGTCCCCGGGCAGAAGCCGACTGGACCCACAACAGGGACCACCCAGCGGGCCAGCACCAGCCTGTCCTGCAAAGAGAGGCCCGTAAATTCCAGTCCCCACAGCTCCGACTCCGGAAGCCCGACATGACGGCATCCAATGGCACCAGATTGGCAAATCCGGGCCTCAACGGTTCCCACCTCGGTAGACGTTATTCTCCTTTCTCATTTGCTTTGCTACTTGTGATGAACTCCACGCAGCCCCCACCCAGGCTGTTGGATGTGGAAAATGTGGGTACGGAAACCGGTCCGTCCCCACACCAGCTTGTATCCCATCGGACCCTGCGCCGACGTTGATTGTTGAGATAAGTTGATAGGTATAACATGAGAGAGTCGCACGTCGTTGAAGAGCTCACTCATCTTGGAATAAAATCATCTTTGATTACTCTTCTAACTCTATCATTGTGAACTAGAGACAAAGAAGTGAGAAACTTCAGCTGGCGTTTCCCTAAATCTTCTCACAACCTTACTGCATCTCATCCACCATAAAAGCCACACATCTTACACAATGGCATCCAAAGACTCACCAATCATCATCGTCGGCGCAGGCGTCTTCGGGCTCTCCTTCGCCTACGAACTGACAAAGAACCGCGGCTACTCCTCCGTCACAGTCCTAGACCGCTTCCTTCCGCCCGTCCCCGACGGCAGTTCCGTCGACGTCTCGCGCATCATCCGCACAGAGTACGCGGACCCCCACTACGCCGCCCTCGCCACGGACGCCTTGCACGGATGGCAGACGTCGGAGCTGTTCGGCCCGCACTACCACCAGTCCGGCTTCGTCATGATGGCCGACGAGCGGGAGGGGCCGAGCGCCTACTTTGACAAGTTCCGCAAGTGGGAGAGCGGCGGGAGGCCGACCAAGGAGTTTTATGCGCCGCCGCTGGTGGATGTGGAGGTGAAGAAGCGGTATAAGGGCGTGCAGGCTGACTTGAAGGATTTCACGGCCACGTTGAATGCTATTGGTGGGTGGGCTGATGCCGCGGGGGCGATTAGGGCGCTCGCGGGGCGGTGTACGCTTGCGGGCGTGTCGTTTGTCACGGGGCGGCACGGGACCGTCGTCTCGCTCGAGAGATCTGGGAACAGGGTCACGGGCGTGAAGACGGCGGCGGGGACGACGCTGTCGGCGGACAAGATCGTTCTCGCGACGGGGGCGTGGACGAACCGCATCGTCCCCGGCATGGGACACGCCATGTCGGCTTCGGGCCAGCCCGTGGGCTTCATCCAGCTTTCGGCCGAGGAGGCGGAGAGGGTGAAGGATATGCCCGTCATGATCAACATGAGCACGGGCGTATTCTGCTTCCCGCCCACGCCCGGGACGAACTTGCTCAAGCTTGCGAGGCACGGGTGGGGTTTCGCGACCGAGGTTGAGGTTGAGGAGGGCGGGGCTGGGAAGAGGACGATTTCGACGCCGCGGTTGAGGGAGAGTAATGCCGCGTCTGGGTATTTGCCGCAGGACGCGGACGAGGATCTGAGAGAGGGTGTGAGGTTGTTCTTCCCTGAGTTTGCGGAGAGGGAGTGGTGTTATAAGAGGATGTGCTGGTACACTGATACCCCTGAGGGAGACTTTATCGCGGACTATCACCCGGATTTCGAGGGCTTGTTCTTTGCGACTGGTGGTGCTGGACAGTGAGTATCTTCCTCCCCTTTGGGGTTAACCCCTGATTTGGTGTTATTTGCTAACGTTGAGGAATCAGTGCTTTCAAGTTCCTTCCGGCTATTGGCCCGCAAGTCGCTGATAGCTTCGAGCGTAAGCCGTCTACGATATTGCGGGAGAAGTGGAGGTTAAGGCGGCCCACGAGCAGCGAGGAGCCATTTGGGTTCTCGGGAGATGGCAGTCGTGCTGGGCCTTTGCTGCGGAAGCTTTCGGTACAGGAGCAGTCGAAGTTGTGATATGGTTTATTTGGGCAGGATTCTTATGACATCACTGAACATTTAGTGTGGAAGTTTTAGAAACATGAAATTATCTTCTAAAGCAACGCACTATGAAAATTACAATGAACCAACAATGAATCCCAGCTTGTATGCACCTATTTACAAATTTTGCCCACCATTGGAAAATGTTCTGAATGCTACAAATGAACCCCAGACCAGCCTGGAAGTCTTACCCAAAGAGAAACCGTTGCGTCTCGCGCTCCAAGGGTTCTAATACCTGTTCCTCTATCGACCGCACGAATTCCGCATTCTCAAAGGACGCGTCCGGCTGCCTATAAAAGTGAAGGCAGTACTCAATGGCTGTTTTAAAACCAAAGGATACCTGACCATCGTTGATTCGTTCCTCAAGTACCCTTGATGCAGTGGTATAGCTTGTTTCTTCATTTGGTAAGCCATCGCGGCCCAAATCGGGTTGCTTCGTCATATCCTCCAGAGGAGTTCCACAGTGAATCTCTAGAAGCATGACACCAAGAGAGAGCATACTTTGACGACTGCAGAGTATCATGGAGCTGTCAGAATTCTGGGGTGGTGGCCCCGCCTGAGCTACTGAAGAAAGTTTAGCCAAACCACAGCGAAAGAACTAAGAACCAGGAGGTGGACATACCTGTCTCGTACTTGTAGACCAAGTACGGGTGCTTGGCATCTATTTGAGAGTTTCCATCGCCCTTAAGACGCAGAAAGACAATATTGTGCCGGCTCCATGGTTCTACTAGCCAAGGTGTTTTCCCAAGCTGGATCACGGATGAAACCAGAGTAACCGCCAAGCACAGCATGTCTCCCATTCCTAATCGCATTGTATTCGTAGCCAGGAACTTGTCCAACGTGATTAAATCTTGGGCGAGATGACGTTGCTGTGTGTCCACCCCGTAGAGTCCTCGCATTACATCTGAAGAATCTAAATCTAGTCCAGTCTGAGGGTGCATAGCTCCTGCAATCGCAGAGCAGATGTCGTCGATTTCTAAAGCCGGTGGAGCCGGTGGAAACGAAGGCCCAGGCATGGCAAATCTTATCTTTGGTATCTTGGGACTACTCCGAAAATTGAAAATCAGGAAAGTTCAGTATCTCGAGATTGGTTGCGCAGATACCTGGTTTCTGGAATGCTTTCACCAAGGACACGGATTTCCATATCGAGCCAAGTTTTCTCCTCGACTCTCGGCAATGCAACTCCGAATCGTTCCAAATTCCCCCCATCTTTGAGGAGACCTTGTCGGTGAATTCGTTTTCGGTGTAGCCTTTGTTCGAGGAGGAGGCCTGCCCGGTGGCAGTCGTGTGTTCCACACCATCTCTTATGGAGGCCTCTGTGTAGCCGAGAGGCGTTCTGCTGGATGCTCTGCAGCGGGGCAACGAACTGAATGCGGGCTTTATGGCACAAGCCTTCGTCTTGCTGGAATTGGTTTATCTTATATGCCCCCTGCAAAAGATTACGCAGATCGGTATTGAACTTAGTGATTGCTTGGAGCTTTTTGTCCACAGATCGCCTCTTCATGGTAAACTCGAGCCGTTTCTCAAACCTGAAACGCTCTTGAGGGTCCTGAGAGTTCGAAATGGGGGGGTTCGAAGAGATTATGATAGCAAGCCCTAGTTGCTTTACCTATTTTGAAGCAATTTAGTAAAGGCTCAACAGGTTCGAGACGTCTGGCTCGGACCTTGTCTGAGCCACTTATACCCAGCTTGGCCACGATACCGCTCAAAGTTTCACCGAGGTCCTCCAATAATCCCATCGTGGGTCCATATGCACTTCCTAGCTCCTTCGTGAGCATGCGTGTGAGTGCTTCGCTCTTCCAAAGAGAATGCTGCGAGTTCTTAATCATTTGCTCCAGCTCTTCTTCATTGACAGCACGAATAAGTAGTAATCGCATGTTTTGATCGTATGATGCGTACTCTATATGCAGTCGTCTTATAATCTTGTCGTAGTCTTTCTTGCCGTGAAAGAATGCCTCTGCGGAGTCCAGGAGAGTCTTGCGATGCTCATATGCTGATATAACCAGAGGAATAGCGCCGAGAACCAGCCCCGCTATTTCGGCCATCCTGAGCACATTGGAAAAGGCGTTATCTATGCGTTCTCAGACGAAGAGTGAGAATGTGATGTAGGAAATGAGTCTCATAGTCTGTGTACAGCTGATAGCATAAGGAACTTCTCGATCTCGTTTGGAACTCGTTGGTTCTATGTGGGTTTGAAGAAGCGACGTCTCCTTACGAAGTGGCGCTGGAAGGTGTTCTGATGAACGTCTGCCGCCGCAGCCTTGCAGCAACAGCAATTTGAGTGGACAACAGTGCCGGCATAAAAATGATCAGCAGTTCCAATTGGAGGCATTGTTAAATACCCCTCTTTCGACTTCGTGCCATTTTCGGCTACCATGTTGGCCGCAGCCTGATCGTACAGGACATAGTTTCACATCTGGTTCTTCCCCAAAGACAAGGCATGCTCCCCTGTTTGCTACATATAACTCTCTCAGCAACTGCGTGGTAGCCAACCCTCATCGATAAGCAATCCGATACCCGAACATCTGTGGCAAGCTCAAACGTTGAACAACCGGAAAGCCTCTTATCTGGTCACCTGTCCAGGACTTAATTGGAACCTCCTCGTCGTCGAATAGATCAGCCTCTACAAACGCGAAGCATCAGACAATCCGCTTGTTTTCTTGACAGGCAGTATGGAGGCACCTCCAGCGTATCCAGTAGCGGCAGCTAGCAGGGCATGCATGCAGTCTTTCAGATGTCTGATAGCGGTATTAGATCAGCCAAACCAGCAGTCGGATGGGAAGCTGGATGTTAGTACGGTGGAAGCCCAACGTGATCGGTTCAAAATATGGGCGGCCAATCTCGGGGGACTACAGTACGGAAGGGCGTCTCTCGATTTCCGCCTGATGGATGCACCTCTTTTACAGAATGTGGTCTTGAAATTTCTGAACGAGCTGAAAAGAGTTGTGAGCGAAAGTATGTTGCTACTATCATAAAACCCGTTGGTGGTGTAGGATCTGATTAACATAACTAGGCACCGAAGTTATCGAGGGAAAGAGGCAACCAAAAGAGAACATTCTGAATGTGACTCCGAACCACCCTGAGATCCATGAGGACGACTCCTCTGATTCCAGCAGCTTCTCCGAAGGCCTCGAGACAACTGCCGAGGATGTCTCACAAACTGAGCTGGGTCAGAACTCGGACGAAATCGATGATATTATCTCATCGCTGGTGAAGATCTCCTTTCGCATCAGAGGCATAAGCTCTAGGGATTCGCAGGCGGCGCACAAAGCCACGATGCACAAAGAGTTCATTCAGGATGAAGAACTGAATACTGTTGACGTTTTCTCAGTGTACTCTGTCTTCGACCGGCGGCATGTAGAAGAGTGGATTCTCCATCTGAGGCAAAGTCCCGAATCGGCGGGCTCTCAACCCCAAACACCTCCCCGAATCACCTCGGATGAAGTCCATCACGAGGAAGACAAGTCACATATCAAGCCAGTGACATTCGAAGACAGTGATATCAAACTCATAGAACGCTGGAGCAAAGCGACAACTGTCAGACGTCGTGTTTTGGCTTATTGGCGAAGACATGCTCGGAAGTTGGCTAAGCGTGACCATGAACCGACGCCTCAAAGAGATCAAAACAGTAGTAGCCTGACACCGGACACTATCGATTCTAATCAGACGCCCATGAATCCTCCTATAGTCTTGGAAATGACGCATCCGGAATCGCTGCCGGCTCCCAGCTCCAAGGGCGGTACACTTCTATCTGTAACGGAAGCCACTCGGTTGCCAAAGCAGATGGACATGGCCGACGCTTCATCAGTTACTTCACACTCGACATATTTCAGTGAAGAAGGCAAAAGCACCGATCTACCAAAGCCACCGAAGCTGAAAAATAGGGAGTCAGAGTTCACTTGCCCATACTGCCATGTACTTTGCCCCAAACAAGACACGAAAGGCAGACATTGGAGGTCAGTCATCCCAACTTATCCCCGGGACTCACTCAACTAATAAAATTCGTAGGGATCACATTATGCAGGATCTTCAACCCTATCAATGCACCTATCCAGACTGTCGAAGTGCCGACATGTTATTCACTAGTAAAAACTCATGGATCGGACACGAGTCTCAGGACCATCGGAGGGTTTGGAGGTGCTCCGAGCATCTAGGCCTGTTCAAATCGATGGAAGACATAACCCATCATTTTGAAGTATCGCATACCACTCTCGGAACTACACAGGTCCAGGAGATCCTGAAACATGCCCATTCTATCACACAAGACTTGCGGACGGAATGCCCCTTTTGTCAATCATCTGGTCCGTTTGAAGAGGATCTCATAAGCCACATGGCTTCCCACATGGAACGACTCGCTTTGTTCTCAATACCAAGAAGCGCCATCAATGATGATGACGACGATATATCAACAAAAGGTGGTTCCGGAGTAGCTCAAGGCGGAGGATCTGCAGCATCTCTCAAGTCGGTCAATCTGACCTTCTCTGATGCAGGCTCCTTACCCTCATCTGTCTCTGACCCTGAGATGACAGGTTCCCAGGCCATAGAGAGTTCTGATGCCAAGCTCAAACTCGATGGTGCACTCAAAAAAGACGCCCGCAGCGAAGTTTGGGACTGGCTAGCTCCAGAAGACCACACGCTGAAGTTTGACTCCTATATCGGTAGGCGACACCCAGGCACCCTTAAGTGGTTCTTCGAATCGCAGATATACCAATCCTTGATCTCTTCTAAGAGGAGATTTCTTTATCTCCGGGGCCTACCAGGTGTTGGCAAATCTGTCTTAGCAGCTGCGATTATTGACGATCTAAGGGGGCGATTCGAACGTTCCGGGTCTCGTATCGCCTACTATTTCTGCTCTTCCCAACGTCAGAACCGGGCAACTGAAGCTTTGCTTCGAAGTCTCACAAGGCAAATCCTCGAAGGAGTTCCCGAAACACCGAAGCTTCTCCGAACCTTTCACCAGAGCTATCTCAAAGATGGAAAACTACCTTCAGTGCCAGCTTTACTGGACGCTTTCGTGGAAGCTGCGGATCATGTTTCAAGTCTTTTCATAATCATAGACGGCTTCGACGTTCTGAGAGGCGATCAAGTCCTGAAGCTGTCCAAAGTCCTGAACTCTTTATCAGCTAAACCCGACAAGAAAGTTATCGTAACCTCCAGGTGTATCAATTATGTCGATCGGCAGTTTCGTAACTGGCCAGTTATGAATGTCAAGGCAGCTGAGGAGGACTTGCGAAGTTACGCCAGAGCAGCGACACTTCGCAACGAACCCCAAAAATTCCTAGAAGCGGTCAACTTAGAGGAGGCAGAAACGCAAGTCGTACAATTCTCCAAGAATATGTAGGTTATATCCCCTCAGCCAACTCAGAACAACCACTCATGGCAACAGTTTCGCATTCGCGACAATCTGTCTCGAATTTACGCCTACAGAATGGATGACAAGCGCCGTACCTGGCGGGGAACCACAAAAGATGATTGACAGCTTTTACATAGCTGAAATGGAGCGCAACCCAAACTCATCAGGGTTCACAGCTGCACTTGAACTCCTGGCATGGGTCGTCAGATCTCCGACCTTATTGAACGTTGCAGAGATGAAAGAGATTCTTCATTTGCAAGCAAGAGCAGTGGAATACTCGGCCAGCTCCGAGAGAGATGTTGATCCAGATCAACTTTATGACCTGGAAAGGCTGCTGTTCTGGTGTTCGGGGCTTGTCGTTCTTGCGCAAGGCGACGTGCTTCGACTTTTCCACCCTACAGCAAATGATTACTTCACCCGAAACCAAAAGGAATGGTTTCCGAAAGCGGCAGAAAACCAAACATACCTCTGCTGTGAATACCTGACCAACGCCACTGACGGAGGCGAAAGCGCGAACTGCAACCTCCAGTATTACGAGACGAATTTTCGATTTTTCACTCACGCTGCTATTGCTTGGGGTCGTCACGCGTTTCAAGCATTTGAACAAGAGGGAGGACTGAAAAAAGGCAGATTATACAGAGTGGTCAGAAGATTTCTTTCCCGTGGCTGGAGAGTCCAGCATGTCACCGAGGCCCTTTGGAAAAATATCAAGTTGATTTGGAACGGGAGCATACATAAAAGTTTTTCCCTGCACTGGACGAGGCTTCAACTGGCGATATACTTTGGGCTCACGGACATCGTGACGGACTTACTTCATGAACATGAGCTTGATGCGAAGGACTTGATTGGAGAAGGAGACAATTCGCTGGTAGCCCTAGCCGCAGAGTGCGGCCATATGTCAATTTCGACCCTTCTGTGGATACGTCTGAACTGGGAGCCGTGCGCACTCGATGACGGTTTGTTGGGAGCAGCCCGCGGAGGCTTCAAAAACATTGCGGTAATGGCTATGGATCACGGCGCAGATCCCAGAAAGCCAGCGCCGTTGTGTGCTGCATCTCAGTGTGGCCATGAGAACATTGTTCGTCAGCTGCTGGATACGGCCCCAGATTTGGTCAAATTGACGCAAGAAGAGCCATTGCGCCTCGCCATCAAGAACGGCCACTCGAGCGTCGTTCGGTTATTATTTGAGCGGGGGACTTCCATGCCTGCAGACGCCAGAAAATTGCTACTCGATTCCATCCAGCGAAAGGATATGAACATGGTTCAAATTCTCCTGGAGAAGGAGCCGCGACTAGCCAACGGCGATTCTGAAGGGGGAACGACGCCTCTCTTCCTTGCAATTGATCAAGACGACGTTGCCATGGTCAAGGTTCTGTTGAAGTGTGGAGCGAGTGTTCTTGAAGAGGACGAAGCTGGAAAGACGCCGGCGTATGTAGCGCGAGAAAATGGTCAAAAAGAGATACAAGATGTAATAGAAATATGGGAAAGGAGAAGAGAGAATAGATGAGACGCTGCCGTAGGATGCTTAGATGATGGAAGACGGATCGAAGTCCTAGTAAAATGTGCCGTCCATTTGAAGCGATCATAATCATCAACCCAAACTAGCGATGATATGATCTAACCTCTTGCCTCGTTGGTACAATCAAGAGCGAACTTGAGCGACCTTGGATTGAACGGGAAAATAGACACTTC